TGTTGCACTGATATTCCATATTATTTGTGGACCGTCAGTCACGGCAATAGTATCAGAGTGAACAAATTCATCAAAATGTATATAATTCAAATCTTCAACTGTAAAACCATTTCCGTTTTCTATAGTGGCTCCACCTAAATTTCCAAGTGATTGCCCATCATGTCTTTCGGTGTCATTTATATATTGTGACATGGAAACGTTTCCCATTTCCTCAGACATTACTACATTGCCATCCATTTCTCCACCGAAAGGCAAATTTACATATTTACTTATATCGCTATTTTCCATTAATTGACCTATTACCTTTAATAATCTGTTGTAAATATAAAAACGAATTATAAGATTTAATAATGGTACATTACAAAAAAAAAAAAAAAGCAGGTAACCGAGAAAAATACTGTTCCAGTAACAAAACGTACCTTCAAAGAAGAGATTGGAGGCGGTACGTTGTACAATAACGAATCTGCAACTTCTTTTATTAAACACTACGAATAAGCTAAATGCAAAACACTATTCAAATCTTTTACAAATGATTTAGATCTGTAAAACCTAATACAGGTATTATTCTTTATTATCAATTTGAATATCTTAGCTAGGACCGATAGACAGAAAAACTTTACTTTTTTAACCTTAGTTTTTTTTTTTTTTTTTTCTTTTTTTTTTTTGAAACTACTGACTAACACCTCAATGTTACTTTCGAGTGTGAAGAATTACTCGCTATAGTTTGTTGGAAGGAGTTATTGCTTTTTATTTACAATATGGTAGGGCTGTGCAACCGGAAAGCGTGGGTCTTATCAACGACTATCCTGATTTAGAAAATGAGTGGATGATGGCTGATATAATGATTAAGTTTCACTGTTTACTATTGGATAAAATTTATAAAATTTTTAGCATTAACGATCTAATGATTCATTTATCCAAATTATTATTTTTATAATGAAATCTTTTAAAAATTAAACTTTAGCGTAAGGCAAAAAAGTCAGAATTGCATACTGGAGTTCAGAATTTATTTTATATACATACTGTCCCTTGCGCTGTCCAGCTATTATTGTGAAGTTTTTAATACAGTATAGTTTACAGATTACAATTTGTAGAAAAATTTGCCTGCAAGACGGGTGTAAGGGATATTGGATTTTCAAATATTAAAATTTATTATATTGAAAGTACATATGTAAAAACATGTGAATAAAAAATGCTTTTTTTTGATTAGGATATTTTTAATGGTTATGAATAACCAGGGTGCTATATCTCAAAAACGGTTGTCGCTCAATTCCCCGAAAGCTATTTACCTGACAGGACATTTACCCGATATCACATAGGTTAGGTTTAGCATTTAATTAGCTGTAGGTAGCATGGTTAAAAATCCTATGATTGGCTAAATAATAAGAAATAGAAACAATATAAACAATATAAAAAGTCATCCAAT